CGCCACGCAACAAACGCTACGCGGAAAACTACGCAAGAAACGCTATATAAAAAAGAGCACTACGCGGGAAACACTATGTAAACAACAGAACGCAGGACACACTACGCAGGAAACATCACGCAAGAAACACTACGCAAGAAACACTACGCAGGAAACACTACGCAAGAAACGCCACGCAAGAAACACACGGCGCTGGAAACACACTACGTAACAAAAACACTGAACTGCGCAATAACGACTACGCAAGAAACACTACGCAAGAAATGCTACGCAAGAAACACGACGCAAGAAAACACTACGCAAGAAACACTACGCAGAAAGCGCGACGCAGGAAACACGGAAACACTACACAGGAACCACTACGCAGCGTAAAACAAACACGATGTAGAACGAATATGGCGTTCAACAAACAAACAAATAAACAAAAACTACACTACGAATGGAACACCACGCAGGAAACGCTACGCAGGAAACACTGCGCAGGAAGCACTTCGCAGGAAACACTACGCAGGGAACACACAACGTAAAAAAACACTACGTTAAAAAAAAACACTACGAACAAAAAAACACTGCGTAAAAAAACACTACGTAAAAAGCGCAGCGTAAAAAAACGGCGTTGACAAAAAAAGCACTTTCAAAACGCTACACTACGCAGGAAACTCTACCCTGGAAACACTACGCAGGAAATGTTACGCACGAAACACTACCAGGAAACGCCACGCAGGAAACAGTACGCAGGAACACTACGCAAGAAACACCGACACACTCGCTGCCGACAAGGCAGCGCAACTCGACGCTGCCGACACACTCGACGCTGCCGACACACTCATGGCCGCCCCGCGACCGCCAACTGCAAGACCTGTGGAGCAAGCCCTGGGCGGCGAATGAATGTCCCTTCTTCAATTTGTGCGCCGCAAGGAAGGCAAGGCCTTCGCCAGCAAAGGGTGTGAACACCCGAAATAGGTACAAAAACAATGGGTGCGATGTGTTCTCGCCTGGCGTTTCTGGTCGCCGCTCTCTGCAGTAGCATGCGAAAGACTCTTCGCGAGCCCGTGGCTCGAAAGGACAAAGAATAATGTGCACTATAATGCGGAAGACGACTGCAAAAGTGAAAAAAGGCGCGGCCTATTCGGCCGAAACGCCAGTGGGGGCGCCGACGACGACAGATCATAATCTTTGGCTGGCGGCCCCACGCCCACAGCCATTGTCGGCAGCACCAGCTAATTATACGGGCGCCACAGCTCCGGCTCTTCTCGGCCGAACGAGCCGCGGGGCATCGCAGACGCCCCCTTCAGCAGGGTGAAGGTAGGAACCCCACACACACACACACACACACATATATATATATTATATAATATATATATATATATAATATAATATATATATATATATACATATATCCGCCGACCCCATGAGGCGTGTGCGGAATCCTTCTCAGCTGCATACGATGTATCCTTATACATCATCCTTCTCAGCTGCATACGATGTCTTCTTCTACCTCACAAGCCCCCCTACAAACGCTGCTTCCGCAGCCTGTGGGCATCAATTTTCAAAGCCTCGCCGGGACCCCCACCACGCCCGCCGTCGCGCTTGACATCCCCAGCCTCTTGAGGCCTGGGCATAAGATTTTAGGCCCCCCCCCCACCCTGCAAAATCCTCGCCGGGACCTCCCACCGCGCCCGCCACCGCGTCTGACATTCCCAGCCTCCTCAGGCCTCTGGGCATAAGTTCTTAAGGGCCCCCCACCCTGCAAAATCCTCGCAGAGACCTCCCACCGCGCCCGCCACCGCGTCTGACATTCCTAGTCTCCTGAGGTCTCTGGGCATAACTTTTTTCGGGACCCCTCACCCTGCAAAATCCCCGCCGGGACCCTCCACCACGCCCGCCGTCGCGCTTGACATCCCCAGCCTCCTGAGGCCTTTGGGCATAAGTTTTTAGGGGCCTCCTACCTTGCAAAATCCTCGCCGGGACCTCCCACCGCGCCCGCCACCGCGTCTGACATTCCCAGCCTCCTCAGGCCTCTGACATACGTTTTTAGGAGCCCCCTACCCTGCAAAATCCTCGCCGGGACCCCCCACCGCGCCCGCCACCGCGTCTGACATGTCCCTGAAGCTTCCGGGCATCGGTTTTTAAGGGTCCCCACTCTGCAAAATCCTCGCCGGGACCCCCCACCGCGCCCGCCACCGCGTCTGACATTCCCAGCCTCCTGAGGCCTCAGGGCATAAGTCTTAAGTTTCTAGGGCCCCCCACCCTGCAAAATCCTCGCCGGGACCCCCCACCGCGCCCGCCACCGCGTCTGACATTCCCAGCCTCCTGAGGCCTCTGGGCATACGTTTTTAGGGCCCCCCCACCCTGCAAAATCCTCGCCGGGACCCCCCACCGCGCCCGCCATCGCGTCTGACATTCCCAGTCTCCGCAGGTCTCTGGGCATAGATTTTTCGGAGCACCCCACCCTGCAAAATCCTCGCCGGGACCCCCTACCGCGCCCGCCACCGCGTCTGACATTCCCTGCCTCTTGAGGCCTCTGGGCATACGTTTTTAGGGGCCCCCCACCCTGCACTTGGGCATCATGCATTTGGGCATCAGTTTTTTCAGGGGCCCCCCACTTTACAAAATCTTCGCCGGGACCCCCCCCCGCGTCGAACTTCCCCAATCTCCTGAGGCTTTGGGCCTACGTCTTCAGGGGCCCCCCACGCTGCAAAATCCTCGCCGGGACCCCGCCATCTGTGAACGTGGATTTTCCCCCGTGCCCCCAGGCGCGCATGGCGCACACTAGGCACATCAGCCGGGAGAACGCAATAACAAAAACACAGCAACACATGAAAGTCAAGGGGTCGTCGTGCTCGTAAACAGCGACATCGTCGTCGTCGTCGTCGTCGTCCTGTTCCTCCTCATCATCATCATCCTCCCACTGCACTCCCTCCGAGCGATGATGAACCGGCCAGTACACCTCCTACCCATAATCCTCATAGGCCTCCTTTGGGGTCGGCGGCAGAGGCGGCGGCCTTTATATACATATATATATACAGATACATATATACATGCTCGCCCCCCCCCAGCGCCCCCAAAACATTCAAAACCACAAATCCATCATTGATCTTCTGCTCCTTCTCATCCTCCTCCTCTTCATCCTCCTCCTCTTCATCCTCCTCCTCTTCCTCCTCCTCCTCCACACAAGATCATACACCTTCTTCCCCCATGCATCCCATATTCTTC